CACCCTCATGCCTGCCAGCCCCCCAACCCCACAGCGCACCTCTCTCCCGGCATCCCTGTGCATGCACCCTCCAGCATTTCCCCTGAAACACACGCATGCGTCTCTCTCCACCCTGCCATTTCTCAGCCATCCCCTCTCCACTTTGGTGGGACCGGTGGAAGCCCAGGAGGTGGTTGTCCCCTCTCCATCCTGCTGTACCTTGCTGAGGAAGGGAAACCAGCCATGGGGACAGCCTCCGCTCACAGGAGCGGGCAGCGGAGGGAGGGAAGGCTTCGCGGCCGTCCCATTGCTCCGCTTGCAGATGTAGGGCAGTGCTGTTAGGCACTTCTGGTCACCCCAGTCCTCTGCAGGGAGAGACAAGCTGGGCATGACCTCCTCACAGCACTGGGGTAGGGAGGGCTCTGCTCAGCCTGTGGCCCCCGGCGCCCCAGGAGCCCCAGCGCAGCCCCATCCGGCCCCTCACCTCTGCTAGCCGTCATGTACACACACTTCTTGTCCTTGTTGATGGGCCGGGGCTTGCCTGGTGCCCAGGAGATGAAGTTGAGGAGGGACCCGTCAGACCACCTGGGAAAGGAACCAGCAGGAGCACGAGGCTGAGCAGGGACTTGGCAAATGGGACCAGCTGCACGCCCTAACCAGGAGTATGCCCCACCACTGCCCTCTCTTGGGTGAGGAACCTCCATCCCAGCACCGCAGGGTGCCCCCTGCAAGATGCAGGCACTGAGCTGCGGTGCTCTGTGGGCTGGGGATGGTGGCATGGGGATGTGCAGGGACGTGGTGGCTTGGTCTCAGACTTACTTGAACCTCCCGTCGTTCTCGTAGGTGTGCAGCCCGATCCACCAGTGTTGCTCCTGGCCCCTGGAGAACTGCATGCCCAGAGAGAACATGCTAGTGCCCTGCAGGGACTGGGTGCCCCTGGGCCCAGCCATGGCCACCATGGGCCCTGCAGGGACTGGGTGTCCCTAGGGACAGCCATGGCCACCATGGGCCCTGCAGGGACTGGGTGTCCCTGGGGACAGCCATGGCCACCATGGGCACGGGGACGGGCAGCCCCCCTGCAGCTTGCACCGTGGCAAAAAGCATCACCTTGCTGAGCCCCAAACCCGCACCAAGACCTATCGCGACCATACAACACCCTTCTTGACCCCAGCACAGCCCGTATGTCCCCAAATAATGTCCCTCTGGCACAGGATGGAAGAAGCCAGGGAGGGGAGCAGCCCAGGGAGGCAGTGGAGCCCATCAGCACCCAGGGAAGTCCCCGTCCCACCAGTACCTTCTTCAGGTTCTGGCCCAGGAAGCGCAGCTCAGCCTCGCCATGCACCGACACCAGTTCCGCCTGGAACCAGCTGCAGATGCGCTGAGCCTGCACCCATGTTGAGTGGTGCTCGAAGAACTTGTACTCAGCCTCCTGGTACTTCAACCACTCTTTGCTGCCTGCGGGCAGGGATCCAGTGTCACATTGTGGCTGTGTCACCCCCCACTGAAGCCACCGGCACCCGGCACCCCGTCCCTCAGGCCCCAAGGGGTTGGGCTGCTTTGCTTTTGCCCCTCTCCTGTATGGAAAGGGTCAACATCCAGCCGAGGGGCCTGATCCTGCCTGGTCCCTGCAGGGAGCCCCTGCAGCCATGCCGTGCAGCAAAGGGCAGCAGGATGCCTGGGCTCCTACAACCCTACACAGGATCCATCCTCTTCTGGGTAATGCTGCAGGGACACCCCGCAGAAACCACACTTCGCTTGTGCATGCGACGGGGTGGCAGATGCCCAGGGAGGATGGTCTACACCGGACAGACACATGGCCGCAGCCAACACACCTTGGGTCGTGATCTCCGGCTCCTTCACATCGGCCCCTGGCAAAAGGGCAAGGAGAGGCTGTCAGCAGGACGCGGGGCTGGGATGCTCCTGCTGATGCTTGCCCGCAGGCTCCAAGGGCAAGATGCCCTCTCAATTCCTCCCGGGACTGGCAGTACCTCTCCTGTCCCCTGAATTAGGACTCATCCTCCCATAAATTACAACGTTCAGAAGGGAGGTGAGAGGGTCCCCCTGTACCTGCTCCAGCATCCCAGAGCCCATCCTCTGCCAGGTTATTCAAAGCTGAAGGGTTTGGGGGGTCTCTTCACCGGTACCTTTAGGTAGTTTGCAGATCCAGTCCAGCTGGGCTTCGCACTGCATTGGCATCCACTGCAGGGAGGCCAGGTCCAGCACCACGCAGGTCCGGATGTCATCATCATCGTAGTTACTGCGGTCAAAGTTGTGGTAGAAAAACTGGGGGTTGAGAGAGACAGGCGGTGTTGGGCATTTCCACCTGCACTGGATTTGCCGCCTGCTGCACCCCCAATACCAACGGGATTCATATCGCCGCAATCCCCTCGAACTCACCCCCAGCCCGTCGCTCCACCTCCAGCTCCTGTCCCCTGCGGGGTCCCGCCGGTTCAGGCCGATCCAGAACCAGTGCTGCTCGTGGAGTTCCGGCTCCGACTCCCTGCAGGGAGCCAGAGGGAAGAGTGAGAACACCTCCCACACACCAAAACAGAGCTTTTTATATTTATATACAAGAACATATTTATAATCTGGTGATTTTTTTGTTTGGTTTTGCAGCCTGCTGTCCCCACAACACCCAAAGGCAGAAGCTTGGATAACAGGCACCTTGGTGCACACTGGCTCAGGGCTAAAGCAGTTTTAAAACCAAGCTCCATCCCCAATTTACGCTGAATTTCCTGCACTTCTCCTGTATCCTCTCCTTGGTGCAGCCACACCAACCGATGCACTTTCTGCACACACATTCACACTTTGCACATCCATGTCTCATCCACACATGCCAGAGCACGGGGAGAGGTGTGAGCTTGTGCCAAGCTCTCTTGCACAGTGGGATACGCGCTGGTACAGCCAGCCTCTCACCCGAAAATCTTGTTGAGGGTGTTGGCGACGAAATGCTCCTCCTCGTAACTGCCCAGGCTGAGCAGCTGGGCTCCCAGCTCCCGGCAAAACTCCTGAGCCGCAATCCACGTCTTCTTCTCTTGCAATTTTTCAAAGTTGAACACCTGGGGAGGGAGAAACCGGCAGTGGAGAGGGCTCAGCATCAGGAGAGGAGCAGAGCATCATCCCTACCCTGCAGTCAGGAGCATCCTGAGACATGCTGCCGTCCCTCAGCCCGAACCAGGCTCACGGGGTCTGGGCTGCCCTTTGCAAGCACCAAAACATGCTCCTTCACCCCCTCCCTGCACCAGTGGGGAGACACATGCAGCCCCAACAATGGCCAGGGCAAGTCCCCCTTAGCAACCATTACCTTGTAGCAGTGACGGAGCTTGGCATCGGAGCTCCATCCTGGGGGGCAGGTGGTGGCAAGGCTGGGTGTGGGGTAGGGACTGGGCAGCTCGGGGTTGACCGGGGTGCCCAGGTTCTGCCGGCAGATGTACTTGGCCTTGAAGGTGCTGCAGTTCTTCACCTCCCACAGCCCCACTGAGCTGCCGGTGGCCAGGGCCACGCAGCCACCCTTGTTGTAACCTGGAGCACCCATGGGAGTGGGGAGGATGCCAGCCTTAGGGTCGGACTGTGCTGGGTGGCCGAGCCAGCACCTACACCGCAGGGAGGGGACATCCCCATCCCACCCACGGCCGCCCCCTTACCGGGCTGGTCGCGGTTCCAGTGGGTGTACATGACCTCGTCACCGCTCAGCCAGCGGAAAGCGCCTGTCTCATTGATGTCCTGCAGTGCTGTCCAAAAATACTCCCCATCCCAGCCGTAGATGAGGCTGCTGACATAGGCCTGCTCAAACCTGGAGGGGTGGCGAGAGCAGGCGATGCTGCGATCTGAGGTGCTGAGCAGCCCACGATGCTCCAGCCCATGCATGCAAAGCCCGACTCTTG